TGGATCACCATAAAAAAGGAGGCGCTGTGGCTCCTTCTTTGGTGTGGCTCCTCAGGCTCTGCCCATTCTGCATACTCAACCAGACTTCAGAGGCTCTGAGGGCCAAAGCTTCTCTTTTCTTGCCCTGGAAAATGGTACACTTAGTAACACCAGCAATGTCTTAAAGCCAAACCCTAGTCCACAAGTAATTCCAGGACCTTCCCCACACATCCAAAGCCAGAGTCCCAAGGATAGCACTGAGATTCTGCCTTTCATACTTGTTGGACTCTTTATAGGATGAGTGGACAGAAACCACCACCCTCCATCCCAAAACAAACAATGATATATACTAGCAAGTTAAAGGTCTTCAAGGGGAAGAAATGAACTTGGAAGTTCAGATTTACTTACTGGATTTAGAATGTTCCAAAGGTCAATGTTAGTTGGGCTCTGTCACTATTTTCTGTAACATGTTAATATAGCTGGGGGTGGGCATTGTGAGAATCCACTGCACTCCTGTGGCCAGGGAGTGCTGGTTTCCCTCATAGTCCTGAAGGGATGGGCTAGATGGCAGAGTATGGTGGGGCCAGGGGCTGAGGTGGTTTTCCCTCAGAACACTACTCCTAGGATGGCAATGCTTATCTACGAACTTGGCTCCCAGGGTGGGAAAATTAAGCTTTGACAACTCAGGCCCACAGTGGATACAAACCCCTGAGCAGAGTTGGATTTTGACAAATTCTAAGAGAAAACAGATTATAAATGAAGAAGATATTAGAGATACAAAAAGTTGAGCTTACCTAGTTCACATCTTTTATGCACAGGTTAACCTGGGCCATTCTGTGTCCTGTTGAGCCCCAGGTGAAGGCCATTTTCTCTCTACCTTGATTGCAGCTAGAATCTGGTTTATCTGAGTTCTTCAAGGTCAAGTTTAAGGGGAAATTCTCATGCTACCTTTATGCAGCCAGAATCTGGTTTATCTGAGTTCTTCAAGGTCAAGTTTAAGGGGAAATTCTCATGCTGCCTTTTTTTGTAGGAACTTCCCACTCAGTTTTATATTTTGCCTAAATATAGACCCTTTCTCCAGCCACCTGAGAGGATGCATTTCAGGTGAGATACTTTCTTTGCTGAGAGGAAGCAGATTTGTTCTTCACATGTCCAAGGGGAAATAATAAAAATATTCATTCAAGAGCTACCCATGTCCAACTATGTGGAGGAATTCATGGATAAGTGGTGCTCCAAAGGGGTCAATTCAAAGAATGAGGCCTGGAAAGACAGTTTGGAAAACTCTCCCTCTCCCTCACTGATTTTCTCAGGGTGTCTCTTGGTGTCATTCATCATATTCACATGTTTAATGCCTTCATTGATTGCCACTAATTATGCCAGTTTGTTTTTTATAAACTTCTCAGCAGCGGGAGGGCTTCCACAGTGTATAGAGGGTGAAGAACACCCCTTTTCATCTCTGGGTGCAGATGTGGGAGTGGTGGAAGGTATTTCCTCCACTGTATGATAAAGGGGTACCGGAGTAGATGGCTTCCTTATTTTCTGATTTTTTAAAAAAATTATTTATTTATGCATATAAGAACTGGGGTACAGGCCAGAGGTACAGGGGGTGAACGGATTCACCAGAGACAGAGTGAGGAGTAGAGTAGGTGGATCTACTGAAATAAACTTCTGAGGGGAGCAGTGGGGAGACAGGCAAGGTCTCTTGCGCCATGTGGGTCACTTCCCTGGCAGGGGTGTGATAGCGTCATGGTACTATGACTTAATACCTTGTGCCACCAGCTTCCTCATTTTCACTCTTAAAGGTGCCCATGAGTCTCTTGTTTCTACCAGACAAACTGCATTTATAAATCATTTGCTTCCCTATTTTTCCTTGATCCAGGACTCAGTCAGTTATTTATGATTCTGACAAGAACCAGTGTTACTACATTGAAGTGGTGCAATTCCAGTGAAAAGCAAAGGCACTTAGATGCTTTGTTAACAACTTTGCTGTGCTAGCACATTTGATTTTTTTTTCCTTCACGTTTCAAAATAGTAATGGGTCCTTCTTAGGGACCTATAGGTGATTGGAGTGGAGTTTGTTGCTGTGAGCAGAAATGAGTTGGTGAGGATTGGTAGGCTGGCAGGATGTGAACTCAAGTGTTATGCTTGGCAAATTGGAAGAGGAGGCAGGGAGGGAGGCAGCACAGGCAGGGCCACAGAGGGACTGTGGCTGGCTGTGCTGAGGCATTGTGGAAGATGGAGTTGAGATCAGAATGGGGTGGTCTGTGGACATACTCAAGCATCAGATCAAGAGTTCTGGACTATTGTCTGGAGACAAATGGGAACCCTTAGAAGATTTGAGCTCAGAAGTAATCTGAAGAACTTGCTTTTAAAAGGAAATTCTTCTTGCTATGGTGTATAAGATGATTGCATCAGTTTTTAAAAAATATTTATTCATTTATACAAGAACAGGGGTACAGGTCAGAGGCGTGGGAAGGTAAGAGAATTCACTAGAGACAGAGTGGGGAACAGAAGAGGCAGACAAACCGAAGACACTGCTGAGGGGACCAGCAGGCGAGGAAGGGTTTCTCCCTGGCCGACCGGGAATTGAACCTGAGCTGCAGAGGCTGAGGACAGATTCACAGTGTAGCGCTCAACCAGCTGCGCCACTGGAGAGGCCCTCAGTTTTTTTTTTTTTTTTTTTTTATTGTATCAGTTTTAACTTCAATGTACCAAAGGAAGAAAGTCTAGCACATAAATATTTTATTTACAGAAGTGAAACTCTTACATTATGTTGTGGCAGAAGACTATTTCAAGATATGAAACAGACTTTTCTTCCTCCTGGTGTTTCTTTCTGTGTCTTCTACATTTAAGCAGCTAGTTGTGTAACAGGGTGGTCCCCAGGAAAAGGGGAGATTCCAGGCTCCCTGACGCACCCAAGGAAGGGTGGATATGGGCAGGGAGGAGGAGAAGCTGGAGAAGAGGCTGGAAGAAGGGAGGGAGGAGACCTAAAGATAGAGCTTCCATATGATCCAGCAATTCCAATCTTAGGTATTTACCTAAATGACACAGAAACATGAATTCCAAAGGGCACCTGCACCCCTGTGTTTACAGCAGCACTATTTACAATAGCTAAGCTTTCGAAACAACCCAAATGCCCAAAAATAGATGACTGGATCAAGAAGATGTGGTACATATACACCATGGAATATTACTCAGCGTTCAAAAAAGATAAACACATGCAATTTGCAGCAACATGGATGGCGCTGGAAGGGATCATGCTCAGCGAAATAAGCCAGAAAGAAAAAGGAAAATACCGGATGGTCTCACTCATAGCAGGAATCTAGAAAACTTAAATAAGGGACCAGGAAAATGAATAACTATAAGAAAGTGAAAATCAAAATCAACAAAAAACTATGAACCAGAGACACTCTATGGGGGGTAGGGGGCGGGGAGGGGAGGGATTGGGGTCAAAATAAGGGGGTTGCAATTGTATGGGGGAATATAAAAATAAAATTTATTTTTTAAAAAAAAAGTAAGGTCAGAAAAAAAAAATAGTCTACAGCTTCAACCACTGGTTGCCACCGGTCACACTAAGGGTCCCTCTGTGTTTGGAGATGAGGATGCTCCTTTACTGCCCGTGGGATCACTGTCACAGGAGAATTTTATCATTGCTTCAAGGGAGAAGGTTGTAGAACAGTGATAACTAAAACAGTGCCAAGGCTGGACAGGTCACTGTGGGTTCTCACCTGTGCACTCACAACAGCAATGAGTCCCAGGGCAAGTTAAGGTTAATTAGGCAGCTTCGGGACTTTGGAGAGTTTAAAGAGACTTCTGAGATAAGGAAAAGAAATTCAGAAGGGCTAATGAGGGCAGTAAATTTTAAGGCTGAAATTTAAGGCTAATTGGGACACTAAGATAAGAGCTGTAAAGGTAAATACAGCCGTCCAGGGAAATACAGCCACTGAGAGAGTCAGTCACCAAGAGGATGATGAGATTTTTGAATAGAGAAAAATGATTTAAATATCTCCTAGACACAGATCCGCTGAGCTTTTTGCCCCAACCTGGTCTGGTTCCACCAGACTGGGAGTCCCACTTATTTCTCTTCCTTTTCTCCTTAATAATCTTTTTCTTTCTCTAAACAAATTTGCCTCTTGGCTTGCCTGAGCATTGGCAAATTTCCTGCTGCAGCATCTTGAGACACTGACCCATGGTCTAGTAGCTGGGACTCAGCGCTGCTACCGCAGGCTGGGATCCATTCCTGGCTGGGAGACTGGGCCTGAAAACCAGAAATTATGGTATCAGCAAGGCCCACTCAGGCTCAGTGTGCAACAACACAGGGTTTATTAACAAAGGGGTAATTGGGAAAAAGGAAAATGTTTCTAAGGCCACAAATGACCAACTGTTCTACCCCAGGTAGTGTCCACAGTGACCAATAATCCAAACCAAAAGCTGCTTATACTAATTGGCATTGTCCCTTCCATGAAAGCTTGGAACTGGTCGCACACCAGTCAGTGCTGGACCAGGATCCAACTCATGGTGGCAGCTGGAGGTGCTCATAGGCAGTGCTGCTGAGGTGGCACTGATGTCGTTTTTGGAGTTAGTGTGGGGTCCTTGGGTTCACTCTGGGAAAGGTGTCACCAGAGCTCCCGTTTCAGCGGCACGTGGCGAATTTCCCAGGTGAGTTTCCTCACGAGACAGAGACAGTAGTTGTATTTAAAGAGCAGGTTTATTAGAAAAGGGATAGGACAGTAAAAAGACACTTGCATAGACACAAGTGGGCCGAAAGAGCTGCCCCAGAAGGGACAGGTCTGCTAAGAGAGGCCTGTGTAGTTGCAGGTGGGCGACCTTGAGGAGAGCTGTCTCTGCTGAGGGAGGTCAGTGAAGAGAAGTCCTGGCAAGGAACAGGCTGGGCAGGCAGGAGGCTGTTGCCCTGCAGAGGGAGAGAGTTGGTGAAAAGAAGCACCTGCATAGGCACAGGTGGGCAGACTGAGTGCTGCTCCATTGTGAGGGCTGTGTTAGGTTTTATCATCTTCAGGGAGGGGCTCATCTTTGTGGGTGGGTGGTTTGTGTCCCGGACACTCCCTATAGCAGTCTGACAGTAAGACCAAAGTACAATAGTGAGTCAAGGTCTTTTAAGAGAGAACCCAGAGGAGAGTCCGCGGGAATGGAGAGAGCAGATCCCATCACAGATGAGTGCCTGGAAGAGCCTGAAGTGGGGGCAGCCATGGGCATGACCCCAGGTGAGTAATCCTATTTTTGTAGGCGTCCCCACATTGAGGAGGAAGTCCCGTAGGCCTGAGCGTTCCCAGGCCTCGACATACTTACTATCTGTCCCTGCCATTCTCTCTTCTCTGGGTGGAAGGAAAGCTGTCCTATTTAAGAAGGATAGCTTGCATTTGGCCCATGTGTGGCTGGTCTTAATACCTTATGAGGTATTAATACCTTAATTCCTTATGAGGAAACTCTATGGCATTTAAGATGATTTACAGTGGAGGGCCAGAGGCCTAGCTCTAATACTGTAAGATCTAAGATAGCTGACTTGATTTGTCTTAGTCCCTCACGAATCTCAAAGGTAAGGCAGATATAACAAAAAAGTTTAACCAAGGAGAGGAAATTCTTGTCTCTATAGCAAGGGAAGGAGACTATCAAATTATCAGTGACATAGGAAGGCACTTAAAAGACAAGGATTCAGAGAAGGGGAGCTCTACCTGAGCAAGAAAAAGGCTGGATGGGTTTCTGGCTACTTACGTTTCGTTGGCTTGGAGTTAATTACGACAAAAATGAAGCAGTGGAAGGTTATGCTTCAAGTTAGGGAAGAGCAGTAGTTAAGAGGTTGTAAAAAGTAGGTCCAGGTCTCGTTTTTACAATCCTAAGAGGTGAAGAGCTGCAGGGTAGGCCATGTGGAATGGTTATTACGAGTTCCTGGGTTGCTGCACCCTTTGTCTTGGGTTGGTGGGACTAGAGCTAACCCAGGATGCACACCAACTTATTTTTTCATGGGAGTCTTCTAGAAAGTGGCAGCCAGCCCTAGTGGCCTTTTACATGGCCAACCCATGCCCACTATTTTTGCGGTGAGAGCGAGACCTGAATTGAAGACAGAACTCAGGAGCCAGCACTTTTCCCAAGGTGGAGAGGGAATGGTGGCTCGACTGAGATCAGCAAGGTAATGAGGCAAAGAGAGTGGCATGAGGCACTCACCTGATTAGGCCTAGGGCAAATGGAAGGCCGTTCCCCCATGTTTTAGGGCCTGCCAAAGAGTAGCCTTGGCCTGAGCCCCTCAGTCTGTGTAGGACAAACAGTAACCGAACACCAACTCCTTTCAAAAACAGAGCTTGTAAGAGCATGAAGATAGAGAAACTGGAGAAATCTTACCAATGCTGTGAAAAACCATATGTTGGGCACCAAAATGATGTTGGCACCAGATGATGTGAAGAACCCCACATTGGGCGCCAGCACCACAGCAGCCAGTAATACCTGCTGGCCAGTGCCAGAGGCAACAGCAACAGGAATGGTGCTGGAGGATCAGAAGCAGTGGACAGCTCTCAGAGGTCACAGGTCAACAATGTTGGTCACAGATTAGCAGTGCTGATGGTGCCAGAGTACCGACACTAGTGTCATAGCCCTTTGATTGTTGTTAACATAAGCCAACAGCAGACAGCTCTTCGAGACACACCAGGCATAGGCCCATGGACACAGGACAAAGGTGGCAGTCAGCTGTCATGGATGCAGGGCCAGGGTCAGGAGCAGTATTTGGGCTAAGTTTGAAGCAGAGATCAGATGTGAAGGTCTCAGCGGTCTGAACATTCTTCCAGCAAGTTTGGAAATGAGTTTTTCTGATGGGACTGTCTGTGAAGGTCTTTCCAGGAAACGGTCTCACATAGTCTGAACCCCTAGCCCTCTGGAACCTTGGCTTATATCTCCTGCCTTTCAAGCCTGATAGGTCCATTTACAACCTTAGTTGTGTGATTGTTGCCAGTCAAGTTCCAGTCAAATCAGTCCATTTACTATCCTTACTGGTCTCAAAAGTGAAATACCAGCTTGCTCATCTAGATCTGCCTAAAGGTGATGTTGGGCCAGCTCATTGGTGTTGAGTTCAGGGAAACTGTGGCAGCTTCAGGTGGTTGTACCTTGTCCAAGCAGCCTTGAACCAGGATGATGCCACCGGAACTTGGGGCTGGCCTGCAGGCTGCAAGCACCACTGGCTCTTAATCCCATTCACACCTCATGGTAGCAGTAGGCTTGGGGCTCCTGTTTCAGTTGGGGCAATAACAGAGTGACCTCCCTGCTTCTACCATTTTTTTCTAGTTCCTTCAACTTATAACATTCTACATGGCAATGTGCCATATTTTGGGGTACCACATCTGAACCTCATCATTTCAGTGCTTAAAATGACTTATCTGTAGCCCCAAGCACTCTTCAAATAGCTCTCTATGGTCACATTTTTGTGGAGTAAGACAAATTCACATTTTAATTCTATTTGATAGATGTGTGTTCATGAGTATCAGTAAAATGGGATGATAGTGGTATCTACCTCATACTGTACTTATGAAACTTAAATGAGCCAATGAATGTGAAGTGTGTAGGCCTGAGCATGGCTCATTATAAAGCTCAAAATATAATACTTAGTAAGTTACTGAGTAATAGTATTGAAGTGAATTGAGGAGACCTGGAAATGTGGTGTCAAACCGAGGACTATTCCTTGAATTCTGTGTTTAGTGTTTTCCTTCCAGTTAGTTATCAGAAAGGGGCAGAAATTGCAAAGTTTATCTGGGGAAGAAATATATGAGTTTTTCTGAGTATGTTAAGAGAGACAGATATAACACCTGAGTGAGTAATTTTGAAGAGTCTAAATAATTTTCTTGGAATCTCAGCCCAGTCTAAAACTCCAAAGAAATCAACAGCTGATGCCTACATTTTACCCCAGGCAAAAACATTCTTGCTAAACAAACTGTGCTTCATTGTGGCCTAAGATGTATCACTAGCCTGAGGCTAAAACTCTTTCTGCTTATTAAATGAAACACACCCAAGCTGGGTCACAGCATCAGCAAATAGGGCGCCGGCCTTGCCCAATTTCTCCAGGTCCTTGAGCACAGAGGGGGAAAAAAAGAATTAATCAAACAGAGCCCATCTTGGGGTTTTAGGAGGGCTTCTGATGCCTTTTAATGTAGGAAAACATTAAGATGTTAGATATTAGCACAGCAGAATCAACTTTAAACAACTTTCGAACTTGCTAAAGAATATTTGTTTAGCTGCCTCTCGTCTACTATCAGTGTTGACTTTCGAGAGACCTCAGAGATTTAATAGAAAAATGGACTGAGCAGTGAGGGAATAATCCCGCAGACTCTGCAGTCACACAGAGCAGTCAGCCTGGCGCCCCAGTCCCCTCCTCTGTGGCCCCCGAGTCATTTTTTTGTGCTGTTCTCTCTGCATTTCTCTTCTTCAATCTTTCTTTCTGGTATTTTCTTTACCAAATCTTTCTACAACATTCACACTCCAATCCCCATGTTGCCGCCTGGTAAGTAATTTTAAACATTTGGTGGATTTAATAGCTGAAATAATTATACCTTTTCATAAATGTACTGATGTACTGGGTGATAAGCAGATTTACAGTAATCAAAATGCATACTCTAAGTTGACATATAAGATGCCCCTTGGAGTACCTCATTTTTTTTCTTGAAGCAATTGTCTTTTCTTCTCATTTCATATTTTGCAGATGTACTTAAGGCATGTTGGTGAATGTAAAATGCACATGCCAGACATTCTTTAAAAAGGAGCTCCTTTGAGGAGTTTCTGGTTGAGGAATCAGTGCATATTGGTCCCCAACCTTTATGAGAACAGAGACCTTTTGTTTGGAACATATGTATCTCCTTAGCTGGCTGTAAGATTTGAATTTTTTTTTTTTTTAAGATTTATTTATTTATTTATACAAGCACTGGGTACAGTCAGAAGCGCGGGAGGGTGAGAGAATTCACCAGAGCCAGAGAGGGGAACAGAACAGGCAGAATGATGAAATACGCTGCTGAGGGGAGCAGCGGCAGTGGCAGGAGAGGTCTGTCATGCCATGTGGGACCCTCGCTGGTGGCCGGGGATTGAACCAGTGCTGCAGAGGCTGCGGGCAGCTTCGCAGCCCGGCGCTCAACTGCTGCGCCACCAGGGGAGGCCCAAGATTTGAATTCTTTAATATCTTATGTAATGTTACTCTATTGAACAAAATGTTTTTCTGAGTTCTGTGACCTGTCCTGGTAAATCAATCCAACTCAAGGAAGGGTCCTGGGAACTCTGATTGGCCAGGAGTACAGGTACCAGCCTGGGCCTGCAACTGGTGTCTGAAGGTGACAGTGGGGCACGGGGGCGGTGCAGGGGAGGAGGTCTGCTGGGACTGAGCACTTAATCTGTGCAATCTCCAAGTAGATAATGTCAAAATTGAGTTGAATTATAAGATACCCAATCAGTGTCCAGTAGTTGCTTTTTTGATGTATGGAGGTTCCCTTCCCCCTGTCAATAAACACACATTGGAAATTGGTCTAGGAACCTAAGAGAGAGTTTACAATTAACTGCTCAGATATCAGTAAATTAGCAATAGAGTCACATAATGCAAAGACTGAAGTTTCTAAAGGTGATGATTATCTTGCCAGAGCTGTAAAAACTGGTGTTAAAACATGGCAGACTCCAAAACATAGCAGTTCCACTTTTTTTTCCCCCGAGGGCCTTCAGTCTTTTTTTTTTTTTTAATATTTTATATAATTCTTACATCATTTTTCATGTTTGCACTCTGTATGCATTTTCATTTTGGATATATTCCCCATACAATTGCACCCCCCTTAGTTCGATCCTAATCCTTCCTCTCCTCGCCCCCACCATAGTGTGTCTCTGGTTTATAGTTACTTGTTGATTTTGATATTTACTTTGTATTAATTAGTCTTTGTCTTGGTCCCTTATTTAGATGTTCTAAATTCATGCTATGAGTGAGACCATAGCTAAGCTATGGAAACAACCCAAATGCCCAAAAATAGATGACTGGATCAAGAAGATGTGGTACATATACACAATGGAATATTACTCAGCAATCAAAAAAGATAAACACATGCATTTTGCAGCAACATGGATGGAGCTAGAAGGGATTATGCTCAGCAAAATAAGTCAGAAAGAAAAAGAAGTTCCACTTTTAATATAAGTTTTTTTTTTTTAGGAAATGAGAAATAATGAGATGGGAGAAAATAGAACAGCCAAGGCAGGAAAGTGTCTTTCATGAATTAAGGTGCAGGAAGGAGGGGAGATGGGCTCAACCTTGAATTGTGGAGCAGCCCCTGTCCTGTGTCTGTGAAACAGTTGAGTCATGGTGGCAGAGAGGCCAATAATAAGGTTGTTGGAATAATTTAGGTATGAAATGATGAGCCCTTGGAGGGAGGAGGTAAGAAGGAGAGATGTGAAGCCAGTGTGTGTGAAATGAGGCAGTTGCATAGTGGAGACTGAGGACAGAAAGGGTTATGAGAAGGCTTCATTGTCCCTCCTGGCTTTCAAGCTTAGTGCAGAAAGTGTGTGTTTCTTTGAATTTTGTCCATCCTTTCTAGTTAGCGCATACTTTTATTTTTAAATGTATTTCTACAATACTATAGAAAAAACACTAAATTAAAATTCTACACTGTGTTCTTTTTATTAGACAATGGTGGGTACAAATTATTAACTTATTATTTGGTTTCTACATTTGGAGAATGGCTTGATTATTTCCACTTCTTACATCCTACTTCCGTACTGGTTGCATGGTCTTTTAAGTTGCCAGGGAACCAGCACAGGGCAGCACAGAGCCTTCTGTTGCTCATGGGCTGGGAGCAAAACCATGCCACACTCTCTTTATTTTTCACCTCATCACGTTATCACTCTCATTCCTCAAGTGAGGCAGCCTAACATTCTTTATGACCACGATGGAATTCCAGTGAACATCTTTAAATTTTGGAGTAAAATTTTTAAAAAAATATTGGGTAAGTTAGAAATGATTTATTATTTTTTTTTAAAGATTTATTTATTTATTTATACAAGAAACGGGTTACAGGCCAGATTTACCAGAAGGTGAGAGGATTCACCAGAGACAGAGCGGGGAACAGAACAGGCAAATTGACAAAATACACTGCTGAGGGGAGCAGCAGGCGTGACAGGACAGGTCTGCCGCACCATGTGGGACCCTCACCGGCCAACCGGGATCGAACTGGCGCTGCAGAGGCTGCAGACATCTTCTGAGTGCAGCGCTCAACCGCCTGCACCACCAGGGGAGGCCTAGGGAGTGTAAAGATGTAAGTGTGGGATTAAGAAGGAAAGGACTATTATGACACATGCAGTGGCAGGAAGGGCACAGAGCAGGACTCTATGACCTGAGCAGACAGGGGAAAGGAGAGTCCTGGAGCCCTCAGTGGCTTTTTCAGGCTTTTATTGCCATTATACCAGGTACACGCAGGTAGGGGTGCTGGGGGGCCCAGGAGGCTGAAAGGCCTCCTAGCCCCGGGCGAATCTTCACTTTTCCTGGGCTCTCCGGCGTTCTCTCATGATCTCGTTCTATCTTGCCGGTTTCGTTCGGCTCTCTCGTTTGTTCTCCTTATGGCCCTCCATTTCCATTCTCCTGGTGTCCCCATGATGCCACCCTTATAAGCCAGACCCAGCCCAGGTGTACCCACCTACGTAGGCCCACTTCCCACTTATAGGGTAAGGTAAAAAGTATCAGGCTTTTCTGCCCTCCCGCCATCAGGATAGATGATGGATCCTTGTCCTGAATGCATGCCTGATGGCGGGCACCTGGAGTAGGGTGTGGGCATAGGTAGATGGGATTCACCTGGGCTAAGACTGGGCTTTTAGGGGTGGCGTTGCGGCAACACCAACAGAAGCCGAGAGAAGAAAAAGCAGAGAAACATGAAGAACCACGAGAGTAGCAGAGAACGCCGGAGATCCCAGATAGAGTGAAGACTTGCTGGGGGCTGGGAGGCCTGCCAGCCTCCTGTCCCCCCAGCACCCGTGCCTGCTGTGTACCCAGTAAATCTGAATAAAAGCCTGTAAAAGCCACTGAGGGCTCCAGGACTCCTCCTTTACCTGGTCTGCATGGGATCATAGAAAACCTGCCCTGTGCCCATTTCTGACCCCACACCACTCCAGGTGTCCGCCATCAGGCATGCATGCAGGACCGTAGGGATCCATCAACAACCCTAATGGCAGGAGGGCAGGAAAGCCTGACAATCATTCACCCTACAGCACATTACACCTTTTCTGGAGAGCAGCTCTTCAATCTTCAGAAGTTTTTAAATGAACTTACAAATAATGTGACCAAACTTACCTATCTTCTGATTACAGCCTGCAGCTGTGCCTCCTGACATTTTTAGCACACAATTTTATGGTAACTCTGTGGTAGAAATGTGACTGTCTTCCTAAAGACAAGCTCAACTCATGCCAACTCTGCTCACTCCAACTGTTCTGGAGAACTGTCAGGTGCTGCTGCTATAGCAGGGGTTCAGGTTGGGGGCCTTCCCTCTGAGCTGACCTTGAAGATGTCCCTATGGAAGCAGCTGGGCTTCTATACTAGCCACCAGCAAAAGAACTCCAGAGACATGGCACCAGATACAGGGCACCAGATACAGGGCCTCTGGAGACTTGTTTTCTTAGTGAAGCTGACTAATTGGCAAAGATCAGAAATGTGAAACACTAGTCCTTTAATGTTGAAGGTGTATGTAAGGTGAATGATTGTCAGGCTCTTCTGCCCTCCTGCCGTTAGGATTGATGATGGATCCCTGTGGTCCTGCATGCATGCCTGATGGCGGGCACCTGGAGTGGGGTGTGGGCATATGTAGGTGGGCATACCTGGGCTGAGACTGGGCTTATAAGGACGGAGTCACGAGGATGCCAGCAGAACAGCAGAAGGAGAACAAAAAGAATGAAAGGAAGCAGGAGAGAGAGAATGAAACCATGAGAGAATGCTGGTGTAGGGTAAGTGAAAAAGTATCAGGCATTTTTGCCCTCCCACCATCAGGATAGATGATGGATCCCTGCAGTCCTGAATGCATGCCTGATGGCGGGCACCTGGAATGGTGTGTGGGCATATGTAGATGGGATTCACCTGGGCTAAGACTGGGCTTAAAAGGGCAGCGTCATGGGGACGCCAGGACAACCACGAGAGCAGCAGAGAACAAGGCCACCAGGGAACGCTGGAGAGCCCAGGTAGAGTTAAGACTTGCTGGGGGCCGGGAGGCCAGCACAACTGCCTGCCATGTACCTGGTAAATCCCAATAAAAGCTTGAAAAGCCACTGAGGGCTCCAGAACTCACTCCTCCTTTACCCCATCAGCTCGGGTCATAGAGATCCGGCTCCGTGTCTTCCTGCCATTACCCAGAAGAGAGAGAATGAGACCACGAGAGAATATTGGAGAGCCCAGATAGAGTGAAGATTCACTGGGGATTAGGAGACCTGCCAGACTCCTGTCCCCCTGTAGAGGCAGGACTGGACCAGTGCAGGTTTTCTGATCCCATGCAGACTGGGTAAAGGAGGAGTCAGAGTCCTCAGTGGGTTTTTGCAGGTCTTTTATTGGGGTTCACCAGGCATATGGCAGGCAGGGGTGCTGGGGGGCCGGGAGGCTGGCAGGCCTCCCAGCCCCCAGCAAATCCTCACTCTATCTGGGCTCTCTGGCCTTCTCTGTTTCTGCTTCTTTTCTGCTTCTTCTCTGCTTCTCTCTTGGCTTCTTCTTTTGGCTTCTACAGGCGTCCCCGCAACGCCACCCTTGAAAGCAGTCTTAGCTCTGTCTCTGGTGAATCCTCTTACCCCCATGCACCTCTGGCCTGTACCCCAGTTCTTCTATGCAAAAAAAAATGAGATCAGCTGTAAGTCTGTAAGTGTTAAATTCTCATCAGATTTCAAAGGTCTTGGAAAATATGCTATTAATAAATTGTATGCTTATTACTCATGGAAATGATAATGTTTTGGATACATGAGCTAAATAAAATATATTGTTATATTAAAAAAAAAAGCAGTCTTAGCTCAGCTGAATCCCATCTACCTATGCCCACACCCTATTCCAGGTGCCAGCCATCAGGCATGCATTCAGGACAAGGATCCATCATCTATCCTGATGGTGGGCAGAAAAGCCTGACATTTTCTTTACCCTACAGTCCACCCCCTCAGGGTTTTCTGCCATATAGTCTACATATATATACAATTTTCTAAGCAAACAAACAATGCATCCATGGCCCACAGAAGCAAATACATCACAATAACAATACAACAGAACACAAATAAGTCCAGGACAAATAAGTCCAAAAGACAATTATTGGTACCAGCAGATGAGCCACCAAATCTGCTGCCGAAGGCACTGCTCACACGAGGGAGGGGAATCACTCACGGCATCTACTATAACACACCAGGAGCCGTCAGGCTTCCTGGCCTTCTCTGGCTGTAGTCTCGGCTACAAGCCACACACCGCATCCACCCCCAGGATGCACTAGCTCTGGGACTGGCGATTCTATTCTGTTGAGGGTAATCGCCAACCCTCAGGGTTTCTGTCTGCAGTCGCTCCAACACTCGGCCTTCATAGCCACCCATGCGACTCACATACCCCTGCACTCAGGCCAACCCACTGCACAAGCACATGGGTCGGGGATCCAAATTCTACATTTGGCTTGGGCTCTATCCCAAGCCATGTTCCCCATCCGTCCCCCAAGGACGGGTTCCTCAGCTCCTCACCCTCACTCAAGAATGAGCAGGGCATCACCCACAGGTGATTTTACGAGACTCACAGGTCTTCAGCATACCCAGGCTGCTTAACAGCCACTCAGGGCTTCTCAACTTAGCATCAGCACCAGCTTTTGCTTCTCAGTTGGCTTTTCTCCTCCGCCTGGCTGCTGGGCATACACAGGCTGCTTTTGGCCATCAAGGGCCACTGGCCACCCCCAGATTCCCATCTCCTGGGGTTTACAAACAAAACTGTTCCACCCCCAGGGTCCCAAAACATATCAACCTGCAAGGTCCTCCGCCTTCTGGTGGGATTGTCAGTCCATCAGTCCAAGTCTCTTGACCTCTCCCTGAATCAGCACTGGCGAGCTCCAAATCTTGGTCCTCTCTTTGCCGATGATTCTTGCTGCCTCAGGGGTCATTGGCTGGTCCTCTCGGGCGTCTCCTCGATGCGAGGTCTCGTCCCGCAGCTCCTGGACCGTATCCACCTTCTGTGACACCATGGTGCCTCCAGCGTCGTCACAGGCAAACACTGTTACTCCTTAGTCCCTCCAGGTCTTCGGAGGGCTCCATACCCGTCTGCATGGATCATCTTGCTGACTTACGCCAATTGTAGAGGCAGGACTGGACCAGTGCAGGTTTTCTGATCCCATGCAGACCGGGTAAAGGAGGAGTCAGAGTCCTCAGTGGGTTTTTGCAGGTCTTTTATTAGGGTTCACCAGGCATATGGCAGGCTTCCCAGCCCCCCAGCAAATCCTCACTCTATCTGGGCTCTCTGGCCTTCTCGGCTTCTGCTTCTTTTTTTCTGCTTTTCTCTCGGCTTCTTCTTTTGGCTTCTACTGGCGTCCCCGTAACGCCGCCCTTAAAAAGCACAGTTTTAGCTCAGCTGAATCCCATCTACCTATGCCCACACCCTATTCCAGGTGCCCGCCATCAGGCATGCATTCAGGCCAAGCATCCATCATCTATCCTGATGGCGGGAGGGCAGAAAAGCCTGACATTTTCTTTACCCTACACCCCCAAACCCCTTGGCACCCCTGCTGGCCGTGAACCTGATAAACTCAATAAAAGCCTGAAAAACCACCAAGGGCTCCTCCAGGACTGTCCTTTACCTGTCTGCATGGAACATAGAGATCCTGCTCTGTGCCTTCCTGGCACTACGCTGTTCTTACAGAAAAACAATGTACTATATTTGAAATGAATTTAATACTTGCTTTCTAAAAAAATTGTTTATTCAAACTCACATTTATTGAACATATTTATCTACCATGTGGTAGAAACTAGGCTTGATCTGAAGAATATAAAGATGAATAAGACATACTGTTCTGTCTTTCAAGTTTCAAAAACCAGGTGGGAATTGTCATTTAAACAAAGCAGTTTAGTATGATTGAGATAAGTGCTGCTAGATGTATGTACAGAACACTGGGAGGAACCAGCTTAATAAAGTTGAGGAAGGTTCATTGTGGAGATGATATTTGAGTGGATTGAGCTTTATTTCCCTTTGTCTAAACTCCAATAAAAACTAATAAATTGAATGTTATTTACTAGTTCAGTGCTTCTCAGCTAACTAAATCACAGAAAACAATAAAGCAGTTTTGAAACCTGACACCCATCAGATTCACCTGAGGAGTTTAACAAAATTCCTGTGACTCTCAAACTTATAAAAAACTCTCAACCACACTAATAATAAAATAAATGCAAATTACTTGTCAGATTGGCGAAAATCCAAGACCCATTCTATTTGTGAGGCTGTGGGGGAAAGAGGTGCCATTTTTTTAAAAAAAAAAAGATTTATTTATACAAGAACTGGGCGGGGTACAGGCTAGATGCATGGGAGGGTGAGAGGATTCACCAGAGACAGAGTGGGAAACAGAACAGGCAGACTGATGAAATACACTGCTGAGGGGAGCAACGGGCGTGACAGGAGAGGTCTGCTGCCCCATGTGGGACCCTCACCAGACTCTCACCAGCTGGCTGGGATCGAACCTGCGCTGCAGAGGCTGCAGACAGCTTCACAGTGCGGCGCTCAACTGCCTGTGCCACTAGAGGAGGCCCAAGAGGTGCTTTGATGTTGATGGGGAGAATGCAAACTTGCATTATGCAAGGGGATATGTCAACAAATTATATAATAAATTAAAGGCATTTATTCTTTGACCCATATTTCACTCCAAGAAATGTATATCTGTGTAAGTATAAAAAAACAACTGCATAAAGGTTGTTTATTAGGGCTGGTGTTTGTGAGTGTGTGTGTGTGTTTTGTCCCGACCCGCGGGATTCGTAGGCACGAAAAGAGAAGGGCTGAGGATTGAAATGAGGGGCTTGAGACAACTTGACGCTAGCGTTTACTTCTTTATTTTTCCTTTTCCTTTCTTTTACTTTTCCCTGTCTTTCTACCTTCCCTGACCTTCTCTCTGCTCCTCTCGCAATAACCTCTCTCGCAATAACCTCCTCGCAATGACCTCTCGACCTTCTCGTGGTTCTCTTCTTATATCCTGGTAGCTCCTCCCATCGTACCTCCCAGTCTCATTTGATTAATAGGAAACACCTGTGGTTTCTCAGCAGGCAAAACGGTAAAGCGAAAACTAATTAATGGCACGTGTGTTGCGCAACACGGCGCATGCTCCAGGCGGCTCCGGACATGTTTGATTTACTTATTTTTTCAGTTTTGTTTTCCATTGAGATAATGTTGGTTTACAACATTGTATATGACTTAGGGGTACAGGCTCACACCTCTTGAGAGGCTTGTGACCACACCATGCTCATCACAAAAGCACCAATAATCCTCTACCATAGTCCAATAGGCCCCTTTCTTCCCTCCTTCCCTTCTCCCTCCCTTCTCTTTTTCACCGGTCCCCTCCCTCCTCCATCCTTCTTATAGTTACATGACTCAAGCATAATAAAGAACAAAGATGATCTCCATGTACTGATACCGAGTGCTTCCTACCCAGAATGTATTAAATATAAAAATAATCAGGAGAGGACCTCTCGGTTGGTGCAGTGGTTGAGCGCTGGGTTGTGAAGGTGCCCGCAGCCTCTGCAGCACCGGTTCAATCCCCGGCTGCTCCCTGGCCAGCGGAGGAGGGTCCCACATGGCGCGCAGACCTCTCCTGCCGCCCGCTGCTCCCCTCAGCAGTGTACTTCGGTCCGTCTGCCTGCTCTGCTCCCCGCTCTGGCTCTGGTGAATTCTCTCACCCTCCTGCGCTTCTGACTGTACCCAGTGCTTGTATGCATAAATAAATAAATAAATCTTTAAAAAAAAAATCAGGAGCAGGACAGTACTCACTGTATTTCTTTTTTGTAAGAAGAGAGAAATAAGAATGTATATATATATATTATTTTCTTAAATTTGCTCCCCAAGCCACTGGAAAGTTAAATCAGAAACTAATAAAAATGGTAACCTATGTGGACTTTTCATAAAACCTCCTTATTTTAAAATTTAAACATTTTAAAGTTAAAGAAAATTTGCAAGCCTGGTGCTAATAAATTTTTCCCCAGAATCATTCTAAATACATTGCTGAAAGGGTGCTTCCTTCACTTGCTCCTCCCCAAGTTTATTGCACTTTCTTTCAAACATGGCACACTCATCAAGGGAGAACATTGACATCGACATGGGATTAGCAACCAATCTCTAGACTTCATCCAAGTCTCTCCACTTGACTCTGAGTGCTTTTTAGAACAAATGAATCTCATTGAGAGGCATTTGCTGTATATAGTATTCGTTTTCTTTAGTTCGTCACACCTGGACAGTTTCTCTGTCTTCATTTCATGACCTTTTGAAGATTTTTAATATTATTGAAAAATATCCTTCAATATAAATTTGTCTGATGTTTTCTCATGTTTAGATTCAAGGCTGGGTGTTTTGGGGGGAACATCACAGAAATGATATGTATTCTCATTACATTTTATCAGATGGTGCATATTGGGATGGTTGTCCCAGTGTTGATGTTGGCTTTAACCTCTTGATCAGGGCTGTTCACTCTAGTAACTCTTTTCCCCTTTGTCATGAATATGTGTGGGAAGGAATTTGGAGACTATGTAACCATCCTGTTCCTCAACAAATTTTGCATTAATTAATTGATAACATGATTTTCTATTTTATTAAGGGATTACAATTTTTATTATATTTATTTTGGGGCTTACATTATGTCATATTTGACTAGTGGAACCTTCTTCAAGTTGACTTTTGTGTGATCTCAAAATTTATCCCTGTATATAACTGGAAGACCAGGGTTTAGCCTACCTGTCATCACTGAATGCTAACTTGGAGACAGAGAATTTAATCTTTAAGGTGTGTTTTAATCAGACAGCTGGTAATCTGGAAGATGGGGGGTTAACACTCTAAAGAAACCATTTAACATTTAATTTCCAGCTGCCTTTTTGTAGTGACTTGAACAAAGAGGGTTCAGCAGTAAGCTAGCTTTCACCACTGCCAGGAGATAGTGAGGTCCAGTCTCTGGAGCTCCTTACTGTCCTCCTGGCCTCAGGCTTGTCCCACCATGCCAAGGCTGATCTGCAGATAGCACTGGCTTCCTGCACTCCTCCAGACACATTCTTGGGTTAGAAGTTCAACTCATAAATAATATGTATGTACATATTTTCTACTATACCAGCTTAGAGTTTCACCTGATCTCCTCCCCCTCCCTATCCCCTATCATCCCCCCGCATTAGTAACAACCCTTTATAACTATAAGGCTTGTTTCAGTTCAAAGATGGCACTCTGCCTTTGTGCAGACAATCAGTTGTGGTTGTTGTGACAGCACCTTGTTGATATATTAATCTTCTTATGCAGGTGGGTGCATGTTGGAAGGCATTGCATATAGATAGCAACAGGCAGTTATGCCCAAGAAAATAAAAAGCAAGATTAGAAAGCATCTCTCAGGCTTGTGATACTGGGGAGCCACGAGGTTAAGAGAGAGAGATCAAGACTAAAGAAAACCTCCTGATTTTTTATGTCTGAGACAATAGCATGAATAGTCTTAACTTTATGCTCAATAAGTTGAGTGTTGTCAATCAGGTTAAAACAACATAGTCCTTTAAATTTGTCACAACCGTGGTTGTGTCTCAGCAATAAATAATCTAGTGCTGACCAATTCTCCAGGACGGCTTTCCTGACCTGGCCCAGTTCTGTCCCTTGGCCCCCATAGCTTGTGATGTTGCATTCAAGCCTTTGAACATTGCACATGGCAAGTGCTTAATACTCCACAGGTTTAAGTTGTCATTGCACTTTGGTGGGAGGGAGATTTACCTTTTCTTTCTTACTTCCTGAGTTATGTGGACCTTCTGGGGCATAAACACTGTGAGTCTCCCAAGGCTGCAGGGCCCTCTGGTGCTGTTTGCAGGTACAAAGGAGTAGGCCATCTTATAGCATAGCAGGAACCATCCCACTGGTAACTTTAAATGAGCCTCTGCATAGGACACAGAGGAGGTAGTGTTGCAGGTCATGTCATTTTCCAAAGTCAAATTCAGACAATATTTATTACATCCTGAGAAAGAAACACATTCATCAGTAGGTAAGACTTTTGCCAATTTCAAAGGGAACATTTCTCTGTCTTTTTTGTTACAACAGGCCCCTGTAGTGTAAGTAAAAATGTTATCAGGCTTTTCTGCCCTCCCGCCATTAGATTAAATGTGTGTCTGATGGTGGACACCTGGAGTAGGGTGTGGGCCTACATAGGTGGGCACACCTGGTCTGAGACTGGGCTTATAAGGGCAGCATTGTGGAAACGGAAGAGCTACCAGGAGAACAAGCGAGAGATGAAAAGAGAACCAGCAGAGAAGCAGAGGCCACGAGATAACGCCAGAGAGTCCAGAAAGAGGGAGGACTCGCTGGGGGCTGGGATGCTGGCAGGCCTCCCAGCCCCCTGGCACCCCTGCTTGCCGTGCACCTGGTAAACTGTATAAAAGCCTGAAAAAGCCACTAAGGGCTTCAGGACTCCTTAACCTGTCTGCTCGGATCATAGAGATGCTGCCTGTGTCTTCCTCGTGGGACTGCAGTCCCCAATTATAGATATCAAGGTAATGTTTCAAATGCTGAAACACGAGGGGAGCCACAAGGCAAGATGTCAAGGTCTGCTCAACATAAGTCCCATCTGCAAGGCAAAAGAGATATTCAGAACATTTCGTGCCAGATATACCCAGACGTTTTCATCCTATCTGAATGGTATACTGTTTCCCTGGAGAGATAAACAGCAAGTTATTAGTACAGAATAAACATTATTGCCTTTTTATAATCAGTTTTAAGTCTCCCACTCTCTTGGATTCCCAGTGACGTTCCAGTGCCTTCTTCACTCTGGTGTAGTGTATCCAAGGCTTGACTCCAGCAAATTTTACCTCCGTTGGTGTTACCAGGAGTGCTTCCCATGGGCCAGTCCACTGTTCAGCTAGCTGATCTTCTGGTGTTTAAGCTTTCAGCAGAATCCGATCACATGATTTGAATGAATGTACAGGACCAGTAAGAGCAGGATTTGTAAAAAATGCATGTGCTTTAATCGTATCTAGGAACTGTCCTAGGTGATGTACGTAATTTTTAATTTTTAATTCTTGATCTATTACCATGTCAATTAGTTTGAGTATGGTCTGGAATGGTCACACATACACAATTTCGTACAGGCTCAAGCCAAGCCTGCTTCGGGGAGCCACCCTTACTCTCAGCAGAACAATATGCAATGCCTGATCCCAGTGCAGATGTTCTTCCTGGCAAAACTTGGCAGTAATTTTTGTTTTTTCTTAAGATATTGTAGCACCATCAAGGCGCAGTGCAGGTTTTCTGTGATCCGGACAAACAGGTAAAGGAGAGTTCTGGAGCCCTCGGTGGCTTTTTCAGGCTTTTATTGAGCTTTTTACATCTTTTGCATTGTGGCAGGCAGGGGGGCCAGGAGGCTGGCAGGCCTCCTAACACCGCCCCCCTACCCCCGAGTCTTTGCTCTTTTTGGGCTCTCTAGTGTTCTCTCCTGGCCTCTGTTCTCTACTGCTCCTTTGCTACTCTGCTGGTTCTGCTCTTGTTCTTTTTTCTGCTACTCTACTGGCACTCCCCCCCCCCCCCACCAATGCCACTCTTTAAGCCCAGTCTCTCAGCCCAGGTGTGCCTACATATGCATGTCCATCCCCTATGCATGCCCACCTATGCATGTCCATCACCTATGCATGCCAGGCGCCCGCCATCAGGCATGCATGTAGGACCCTGGGGATCTATCATTAATGCTAATGGCAGGAGGGTGGAAAATCCTGATAACTTTCACTTACCCTACAGATATGATTAATTTTTTTACTTTATCTGATGACAGAGGCTTCCAGGCTGTATGCAGTCTCCCTTTGATCCCCAGTTGTTTGTTATCCATGTGTCAAAGGCAGGTGCATTATTACTTTGAATGGTGCCAGGCAGTCCATACTGAGGGATGATGTTCCTTAGTAAAGTTTTGACGATCTCCAGGCCTCCCTGGTGGCACAAGGGGTTAAGACACAACTTATGAGCTATCTGCAGCCTCTGCAGCACGAGTTTGACCCCCCAGCCGGCCAGGGAGCAACCCACGTGGCACAGCAGACCTCTCCTGACTCACCAGCTGCTCCCCTCAGCAGTGTATTTCAGTCAGTCTCCCTGTTCTGCTCCCCACTCTGTCTCTGGTGGATCCTCTCACTGCCCGCACCTCTGGCCTGTGCCCCTGTTCTTTTATGCATAAATAAATAAATTTTAAAAAAAATAAAGTTTTGACAATTTCCACAGCTTTCTCTGTCAGGCTAGGGAATGCTTCCTCCAGAAGTATCAAGACAGACTAGCATGCGTTTATAGCCTCTTGATTCCGCATGTGGGTAAAATCTATCTGCCAATCTTCAAAGGGGTACTGTCCTTGGTATTTTAAGTCTTCTCTGGTGGGGGTCTGTCTCTGGATTGTTTTTCTGGCAAATTACACAGCGAGCTGTTGCCCTCTGTACAGCCTTGGAGAGGCCTGGGCTTGTAATCCACGGCTTCAGATAATTTTTTTTTTAAGATTTATTTATTTTACACATGAACTGGGGTACAGGCCAGATGCGCAGGAGGGTGACAGGATTCACCAGAGACAGTGGGGAACAGAACAGGCAGACTGACGAAATGCACTGCTGAGGGGAGCAGTGGGCAAGACAGGAGAGGTCTGCTTCGCCATGTGGGCCCCTCGTCTGCCGACCGGGATGAACCGGCACTGCAGAGGCTGGGGACAGCTTCACAGCGCTGCTCTCAACCACCTCTGCCACCAGGGTAGGCCCCATATAATTATTTAAAGAGTTTCTCCTGAGATGAGTTGACTCATGTACTTATTTAATAATTGGCTCTGTTGTAGAAGCCGACTCACTGGGGCGGAGGAAAAACAAGCGGTACTCTAGGACAGGTGAGGTCAGGAAAGTTTCATTCTCGCATGCGGACCCAGACACTGAAAAGCACCTGTACAAAGGTCTGGGCCTTGAGCTAACAGATTTCTTTTTATACACACACACACACAAAAACAACTGTCTCAACATTTGTTACACAGGCAGATTGACAGATTGTTTTACAATAGGCAAAATCATTTGGTGGAGTGCAAGGCCATTTCACATGGTAAAGGGGAGTTTACGAAGTGGGAAGGGGATGGAACTATCTCAAGATTGCTCAAAAGAGACCATCCTGTCTGGTTATCTGACTCCCTCCCTTTGAAATGCAGCCTTGTTTAGATAGTTGTACTGAGACCGGCCAGGAATATTTCAAAGAGAAGATTTGCAAGTAAGCACACTTGTTAATTGCTCCTGGATTAAAATGCTAATTGCACCTGGAGTGAAATGCGCATCTGGTGGTTGTTTATGACATCCAGTTGCTCAGTGGTTTTTCATCAGCTCTACTGAGTGGACTGGGAGGAATATTGTCCCTTTTCAGAGGTTTAAAAAATATGGACTTATCAAACCCCACTGGTCTCCCCATAACACTCCCATATTGCCCATGAAAAAGACCCACTCTGATGAGTACAGGCTTGTAGAGCAAAAGGGAAGCCTGTGGCTCACGGCAGGCTGGATGAAAAATATTAGGCAGTGCTGCTAGATAATCCCAACGTGACCCTTAAACTGAACAAACTGAATCTGTTATAGGACAGGAAGAGGGGCAGCCCAAACCCTGCAAACCTGCCTATTCTAAATGGGTTCTGCCATCCGCCGCATCAACACAAAGCATATGAGACTTTAATGGGAAGGAGCTTTAATTAGGAAACAATACAGGAAAGGCAAAGAATCTAGTTTCTAAATGAAGCACCCAAAGTGACCCGTCCCCTCGTGGGTAAAAGTCCATCCATATGGGATTGGCCCAGAGCAAGGCCCCAAAGCCTGCCACAAGTCTAAAGCATCTTCCAGTGGGGACCCACAGAAAAGGGTCAGAAACAACCAGACAAGCCCAGAAGGAAAAGAGCAAAATCAACATCAAGATAAAAGCTGCCATTGTCACCTCCCCATGGGTCTCACCCACATCCGTGTCACCCAGTCCACGACCAAAAGACAAGCGCAGTTTCTTCACGTGTCTCTAGGCTCCATGCGCCTCCTCCAGGTCTCCTGGCTCCATCCTGCTTCCTTCCTTCCTCAGTCTCTTCTGCAGCTTCTTCTCTCCCTGCTCAGCTCCACCCTCCCTTGGGTGGGGCAGGGAACCTCCCCCTTTCCTGGGGACCACCCTGTTACAAATCCAGCACTGCTTCTCCCAGACACACAATGGGGCCTCTGATACATGAATGTACTGAAATAATAAATGAAATTTACTCCTGTAGACCAGATTTATAGGCTAACCCAACTGGAAAAAGCCGATTGGACCCTCCTCACTGATGGGAGCTATGTTCTTCAAGGCAGCCAGAGGGCTGGGTATGCAATGGTCACATTAGAGTAAACTACCGTGGGGCAAAGGCTTTGCCTCCTGCCACTGCTGCACAGAAAGCTAAGCTCGGGGCCCTGACATGGTCACTTAAGCTGTTGGCAGGGAAGAAGGCAAATGTTTTCATGGATTCCAGGTATGCCTTTTTAATTTTGCACACTATGGCTCTATCTGGAAAGAGAGGACACTGCTCAATTCCAATAAAAATACAATCAAACAAGCATCAGAAATTCTCAGACTATTGGCAGCAGTTCAGACCCCTGAACAGGTGGGTTTTTATGTGTATAAAAATTAAAAAAAGTTAAAACCTCTATTTTTAAAATTTGAATTTGAAATTTCAATATGAATATATGATCTCGAAATTTATCCCTGTACAGTTTCCCCTAGCTCTGTTACTGGGAAGGGCCTTGATAACCCAGATGCAAACAGTACCCCTGCCCCAGAGTTTGTCTTTTCCCGCTGAAAGAAACCAAAGCACCTTAGAAAATCAACTGATTCTGGGTCTGGACGAGGATGTGTCCAAGGTGAATGTGGAAGACTTTGCTGTGCCAGACAAAGAGTCAATGTGAAGTGACTGAAGATGGAACAATTTAAAATACAAAAAGAATGACTGCAGTGGAACAAAACACACCGAGGATATGAAAATCTGTGAGTCTATAAAATGATACCCAGAAAAGAGAAAACCAAATGCAAAACAAACACCATTTATCTCCTACTCTTTATTCTGGAACGTGATGATTCAAAATACATAATTATTTACCTTGGCCCCAGTTGATGAGATAAAACTTTCTCTTTTGCTATCTCTCATAAAGATTGCCAGTTAGTAAGTACTGAATGGATGACTGAAATAGAAAAAGCACCATGTTGCCAGCCCCTAATGAAGTAATTGATTGAAGCAAGAATTGTGAATGGATGAGTGTAAGAAAAATGAGTGAATCAGGCTATTTTTCGCCTTTCATACAACAGAGAGCCCATACTTTGAAATGCTCTGTTTTCCTTCATTCTGGCCTCTAGCAAACAGCAGATGGGCCTTGTATTTGCAACGATGTAGATGTATCAGTTGTGTGGCTATGGGCACTTAACAGTATAAAGGGGGCTAGGCTGGGGCATTGCTGTCCTGCTTCTCTCAATGTTGGAGGCTCTCTTGCCCTGTCTGCCTGCCTATGTGTATGGTCCCCTGTCTCAGCATTAAAGGCCTACAAAATTCACTAAAGTCTCCTCTTTTTGTCTGCAAGAACTGACAATGAACCTACCTGGCCTGGGATGGCTGCACAACAATGATAAAGACATTAGTTGATATATTGATGGAGAGTTGGATACTCTAGTGTTACTGAAGTATTAATGCACACATTATCCAATGAGGTACCAGGCTGTCTCTGGCTTACTGATAATGGGTCCATTATATATGAAGTATCTCATGATGTGTTGCAATATTATACAAAATCAATGATGACATTTTGCCTAAGATGTTGCAGATCAGGGTGCGTTCTTGTGTTCCAGGGATAGAGGGATAATCACTGACACACCAGACTGAAGATTAGCAAACTCAGGTTTACATCAAAAGAGACTCCAGACAGCAGGAAGTCATCTAAGGGAGGAGCCCATTGCTAGGATGCTGGTTTCCTTTTCATAGGGCTTCTGGGAACTTTCCACCACTCTCAAAAGCTCCCAGGGCTTTTTCTACTTTGGGGTACTTTTCCACTGCTCTACTTTGCCTCATTGCCCCCTTTTGTCACCCAGAGGTGGAAAGTGACCACAAACCTCTTCTTCCCCACACCTCTCCTATGGCTGCCATCTCAAGTGCTGTCAGCCTTTGCCCACCAGCCCCCCGGACCTTCAGTGTTTCACCTGAAAATAATTCATCCTCTAGAGATAAACTCCAATTTTTTTAAAAATAAATTTTATTTTTATATTCCCCATACAATTGCAACCCCCTTATTTTGACCCCAATCCCTCTCCTCCCCGCCCCCTACCCCCCATAGAGTGTCTCTGGCTCATAGTTTTTTGTTGATTTTGATTTTCACTTCTTACAGTTAATCATTTTGCTGGTCCCTTATTTAAGTTTTCTAGATTCCTGCTATGAGTGAGACCATCCGGTATTTTCCCTTTTTCTTTCTGGCTTATTTTGCTGAGCATGATCCCTTCCAGCGCCATCCATGTTGCTGCAAATTGCATGTGTTTATCTTTTTTGAATGCTGAGTAATATTCCATGATGTATATGTACCACATCTTCTTGATCCAGTCATCTATTTTTGGGCATTTAGGTTGTTTCCAAAGCTTAGCTATTGTAAATAGTGCTGCTATAAACATAGGGGTGCAGGTGCTCTTTGGAATTGATGTTTCTGTGTCCTTTGGGTAAATACCTAGGAGTGGAATTGCTGGATCATATGGAAGTTCTATGTTTAGTAGGTCCAGAAATCTCCACACAGCTCTCCATAGTGATTGGACCAGTTTGCACTCCCACCAACAGTGCAGGAGAGTTCCTTTTTCTCCACATCCTTGCCAACATTTGTTGTTGCTAATTTTTTTAATATGTGCCATTCTCACTGGTGTGAGATGGTATCTCATGGTAGTTTTGAT